TTGGAGGACTGTTCTGCCGTTTTGGAGTGATCTTGGGGCCTCTTGGGCCGTCCACGGCGGTCCGCCCGCAGCTTGAAGAGACGGTACTGCCAAAATCGTCCGACAGCTCCTGCTGGACCTCTCGAAAGCCTCTTGGAACCCTCCTGGAGCGGCTTGGGCGCATCTTTGACCGTCTTGGGCCGTCTTGGGGCCGCCTGAGGCCGTGAGGCGGGCTACCCTTTTGGCGCCTCATTGGGGCGCTCGGGGGGGCCTCCGAGGCCGCGCCCAGGAGTTCCTCATCTCTGATCCGACCCTGCCGGGACCTTGCCGCGCGCGCGCGACATCGAATTTGCGAAGTAGAAGCATGCTGCGTTGTAGGTCAAGGTCCTCATGGACATGTTTTTGTTTCGCGTCGCTCACTCAAGAGGCCCATCTTGCATTACTGTGGCTGTGTTGTGGTGTGCTCGTGCCCAGGGGGAACGGTAAGGCAGGCAGGTCTGTCCTCGAGGAAGTCTTTGGAGATGTGGCTCGCAACAAAAAAGAGCCGAGGGACTGCCACAGAGGGCGCCTAGATGGCTCAAGAGAGCTCTAGCAGAGTGGTGGGTGAGATGTACCTGGGTTGCGGGTCAGAGTCCTCATGTATTCTTCTTGGGGTCTCTTCGAAGGGCTCTCGGGAGCCTTTGGGGAGCAGTTTGTGGGCCTCTGGGGGGCTTCTTTGGGGCCTCTTGGGTCTTCCTGGGGGCCTGTTGGGAGTCTTGGGGGCCTTTGGGGAGGCCTCTTGGGGACTCTCGGGAGGCTCTTGGGGGCCTCTAGGGGCGTCCGTGGGCGATAGCTCGAAATGTCTGTTCGGGTTCCCCCTCTGGGCTCTCTCTTTGGGCCATCCTGGGGCCGTCTTGGGGGCCTCTTGTGCCGTCTGAGGGCAATTTTGGGCCATTTGGGAACCCTCTTGGAGGCTTTTTGGGCTTTTTGGATCGATCATTGGGCTTCTTGGGCCGTCCAGGGCTGTCGGCAGCTCGAAAAGGCGTTGCCATCAAAACCGTGTGAAAACCAAGGCAAAATCAATGGTGTTTGCGTTTTGGGGGCCTCTCGAGGTCCTCTTGAAACCCTCCTGCAGCCTCTTCGGTGCTTCATGGGCCGTCTTGGGACCAACGTGGGCCATCTTGAAACGCTCTTGGCCTGAGGCCGTGAGGCGGGCCACCCTTTTAGCGCCTCAGTGGGGCGCTCGTGGGGGCCTCCGAGGCTGCGCCCAGGAGTTCCGCATCTCTGATCCGACCCTGCCGGGACCTTGCCGGGGTTTTGCCAGGACTTTGCCAGGCCCTTGCCGGGGTACTTGTTGTCCAGGGCCTCTCAGGGGCCACCACGCGCGCGCGCGAATTAGAAACATCATGAACATCTTACCGCAGATTTTAGCACGCCTCTGGCCCGCTGGGCCGGCAAGTCCATCATAATAGACTGGCCTTCGGCCCATCCCGCTACCGTGCCTGGGTCGTGGACAAGACGCCTTTGGGATATCTCGTTGGGCTTCTCGCGGAAGCTCTATGGGGCCTCCTGGTGGCATCCCAGGGGCCTGTTGTAGGCCTGGCTGTGTCGGGGACCCTCTTGTCGTGGAGGGATCCGATGTGCAGTTCGAGTTCCATTTCTCGGGTCCTTTTCGGGGCCTCTTGATTACCTCTCGGGCGCCTCCTGGGAGCCTCGGGGGCCGTTTTGGCCGTGCAGTACGGGCATCGTGGCTTGTCTTTGATGAATGTTCTGATCCTTCCAGGTCTAAAGGCCTTGAAATTGCAGTGGGGGCGCTGGATTTTCTCATCGTTCCAGCCCCCTCAAGGTCCAGAGGGCGCGGCATGATTATGGGGTTCCCACCGCTGCAAATCTCTCGGGCCCCGAACGTGCGGCAGCGGCAGCGGCTTGCAGGCTTGCAGCATTCATCACTGTCACGTGTGGCAGCGGCAGCGGCAGCCTCAGCATGTCAGGTGCCCCGTGGGGTTCTCACAAGTCCAGGTTTTCCAGGTCCACAGCGTATGGCATGAGCGTGGGCATATCGCCACTCCAAATGCCCCAGGTCCGGAGGTGCAGCAGGGCCACACGATGCCCACTGTTCCAGGCCTCCCATGCCTCTCCTGTGACTCCCTGTTTTTAATATTTCCCAACCATCCTGTGGTGTTGGGTCCTCGTTTTGAAGAGACAGCGCCCCGCGTCCCACCTCCTCTCCTCCTCCTCCCCCTCCTCGCCCTCCTCCCTCCTCCCCCTCCTTGCCTCTGCTCTCGGCACACCCCTCACACGTTTCGTAGCCCCATAGGGAGCTCCACCGAAGGTCCCAGTGGCACAGCCCGCATGCGGTTCCCCCACCCAGGGCAGCGTTTCGTAGCCCCATAGGGAGCTCCACCGAAGGTCCCAGTGGCACAGCCCGCATGCGGTTCCCCCACCCAGGGCAGCGTTTCGTAGCCCCATAGGGAGCTCCACCGAAGGCCCCAGTGGCACAGCCCGCATGCGGTTCCCCACCCAGGGCAGCGTTTCGTAGCCCCATAGGGAGCTCCACCGAAGGTCCCAGTGGCACAGCCCGCATGCGGTTCCCCCACCCAGGGCAGCGTTTCGTAGCCCCATAGGGAGCTCCACCGAAGGTCCCAGTGGCACAGCCCGCATGCGGTTCCCCCACCCAGGGCAGCGTTTCGTAGCCCCATAGGGAGCTCCACCGAAGGTCCCAGTGGCACAGCCCGCATGCGGTTCCCCCACCCAGGGCAGCGGTTCGTGGCCCCATAGGGAGCTCCACCGAAGGCAGCCCGCATGCGGTTCCCCTACCCAGGGCAGCGCTTCGTGGCCCCATAGGGAGCTCCACCGAAGGTCCCAGTGGCACAGCCCGCATGCGGTTCCCCCGCCCAGGGCAGCGTTTCGTACCCCCATAGGGAGCTCCACCGAAGGTTCCAGTGGCACAGCCCGCATGCGGTTCCCCCTGGCCCCATAGGGAGCTCCACCGAAGGTCCCAGTGGCACAGCCCGCATGCGGTTCCCCCACCCAGGGCAGCGTCTCGTAGCCCCATAGGGAGCTCCACCGAAGGTCCCAGTGGCACAGCCCGCATGCGGTTCCCCCACCCAGGGCTGCGTTTCGTGGCCCCATAGGGAGCTCCACCGAAGGCCCCAGTGGCGCAGTTCGCATGCGTTCCCCCCCACCCAGGGCAGCGTTTCGTGTCCCCATAGGGAGCTCCACCGAAGGTCCCAGTGGCGCAGTTCGCATGCGTCCCCCCCACCCAGTACAGCGTTTCGTGGCCCCATACGGGGCTCCCCCGAATGCGATACCCACAACTGCATATGGTTGGGTCCTTCGCCAGGCTAATTGTTTTGTTCTCTCTCTCTCTCTTTCTCTTTCTCTCTCTCTCTCTCTCTCCCTCCCTTCTCCCACTCCCCCCCACCTCCTGCATCCTCATCCCCGTCTTTCCTTTCTCCTGAAGCTTTCCCGAACCAGTTCGCTGCCCTTGCCAAGTGCCACATGTTCCTACTAAAACCAGTTCCTAGGGCCAGTCGAGAGCACACCTTCGGGAAGCACGGGTTGCTCCAGACCGCGTTGTGACCTCTTTACGCTGTTCGATCGCTATCCTCCCCGTCATCATTCTGCCCTCGTGCTGCTACTTCCCCTGCTCCTCCTCCATATCCCCCTCTCTGTGCCCTCCTCTTCCTCCCCCCTCTTTCCTCACCCTCCCTATTCCTTCCCCTCCCTCCTTCACCCACAGTATCTCGTCCTCGCTCTACATTCTCCCCCTCCCCTACTCCTCCCCCTCCCCTCCCCTCCCCTCCTCCCCTACCCTCTCCTCCCCCTCCCCCTCCCCTCCCCTCCCCTGCTCCTGTCCCCGTTTAGGCGCTGCCGCAGCCGGATCCGCGGTCCCGCTCGGAGGCCCGGGGTCAGAGTCGGCCCTCGGACCTATCTAAGTACAGAGTGCACCAGTGAAGAAACAGCCTGTCAGCATGTGCCTCGCGGAAACTCCCTCCCTCCCTTCCCTCCCTCCCTCCCTCCCCTCCCCTCTCTCTCCTCCTCCTCCTCCTCCTCCCTCCTCCTCCTCCTTCCTCCTCCTCCTCCTCCTCCTCCTCCTCCTCCTCCTCCTCCTCCTCCTTCTCCTCCTCCTCCTCCTCCTCCTCCTACTCCTCCTCCTCCTCCTTCTCCTCCTCCTCCTCCTCCTCCTCCTACTCCTGGCACGTCGGGGGCGGGAGTGGGATGGGGCAGGCCTTGTCGGAAGGCGGCGGGGCTGCCACAGGCGGCCCGGGTCAGTAGGTCGACCTTGCCAGGTCGCAAATAGTTTGGGCCCCTCAGGATGCTCAGAGATCGTCCTCAAACGTGCCCCCACCAGACCTCTCGTAGCGGGATTCCTTTGTCGTGCGTATCGTGTCCGGGAGTGCATCCTCAGAAGCTCGAGGCAAATCCAACCGTGGCAACGAGAGGAACGCCCTGCAGACCTCGGTCGTCGATGCCCCTTCCTCCCTCGCGCCCGCGCCCGCAGCAGCCCCGCCTGCTCTGCAGGGCAGGCGGGGGGGGGGGGGGGGCGCCTCCGCCGCCGCGGCCGCGCCGCTGCGCCCCTTCCCGGGGGGTGGGGGGGCAGGTGGCGGCTCCCTTTGAGACTGCACAGCAGGCGAGTTCAGGCGAGGGGGAGGCGTCAGCGCGACCCACGAGGCAGCAGCGTGCCTAGGCGGCTCTGCGCGTCCCGCCTTGGGAAAGGTGCCCGCAGGAGGCGGGCCGATCAGCGCGCTGCGTTGAGCTCGGTGGCGTTTCGAAGATGGGGCCCCGAGGGGGTCCTGAGGACGAGTGGCCTCAAACAGCGAAGAAGGTTCAGATTGGGATCCCCCTCCTGTCCCCAGGGCCCCATTCCTCGGGTCATCACCCCAGACCTGCGGCGCTCCAATGCTTTCAATCTGCCTAGAGCCCTGGAGGTCTGGACCACTTCCCAAGAACCGGTTTTTCGTCCTGCGTCGTTTTGGTGGTCCCGGGGCCCGTCGAGGGCCCCCGCAGGCTTACAGATCGCTCTAATCCGCCCGTCCAGTCTTGGTTGGAGCCTCGGATCTTGGGGTCACTGAGCCGCCGAGGAATGCTGGCGCCCGTCCAGTTTGGGTCGGAGCCTGGGGCCGTGGGGCCACCGAGCCGCCGAGCAGGTGGCGGCATGCGGGCGCCTGGGCTGCCGGGCCAGGGGCGCGCCGGCGGGGCCGAGGCCGGGCGGGCGGGCCCGAGGCCCTTCTGCCTCACGCCCTCCGTGGGGACCTGGCTCGCGCCGCGGAGCGAGGCCGAGGCGCCCTCGTCCCGTTTTTCGGGCCGGGCGAAAGGGGGGGATTGGGAAAGGGGGGGTACGAAATTTGCTGCATGCAGCTGCTTTCGGCCCCACCGAGGGGCCCATTCCTCGATACATAGCCGCCTCCGGCGCCGGGAGGCGCCGGGGAAATCAGCCACGTGAGCTGATTCTCAAACCCTCCCTTTGCTATCCCCCCCTTTCGCCCGACCCGACTTTTGTGCCCCTCCGCCTCGCGAAGCAGGACAGATCGCCAGATGCAGAAGCTTCTGGCCCTCCGCACGGATTTGTCGGATCCGCGCTGGTCCCCCCCTGGCGGCGCTTTCGGCGCCGCCCTTGGCGCGCTCCGCGCGCCAGGGAGGGGGGTCCAGCGCAGGTGCAAAAAAGTCGCTCGGAGCGCCGGAAGTTGATGTCTACGGCGTTTGTTCGTCTTGTATCCTCGTCCTCCACCTCCACAGTCCTCCTCCTCCGCCTGCTCCTTCCCTCCTCCCTCCTCCCTCTCCCTCCGAGGTGCCCGAGGTGCGCTCCCCGGGCGCAGCCAAGCGCCGGCCTGCAGCCCCCGAGGAGGAGCTCGGGGGCAACGTCAGGGGGGAGATGGCCCAGGGGGAGACCCAGAGATCCGAGGCTCTGACCAGACATTTGAGCGGCCGGTGTCTGGCTATTTCCGGCCCCTGGAGGCCCAGAGGGGGTCCACGCATGGAATGCATTGGAGCGCAGGATGTCTGGGAACGCAGCGGACCCCAATCGCCACTAGTGGTCGCCGGCCCCAGACTCGATTTCGAGGCGGGGATTTTGTCCATGACCACCGCCTGGGGGATCGATCTTGGGACCTCCACAGGCGGTGGATATGCCCTCGTTTTCAAACACGCTTGTCTTCCACCCGCGCGTCGTATGACATCGATTCAGGCACGGCTTCTTGTATATGGCCCTTGTCCTTTTCGCTCAAGCTTTTTTTGGACGGCCGCCGGCACATGTCTCTCTGTGTCCTCCCAGCCCTCGTCGGAGGAGGTCTCCGCTCCGTATCGAATTTTGTGATCACTGCAGTGCCGTGGTTGTCGACTCCCGTCGATCAAGCCAAGGAGTGTGTTGTGGCGGACTGGGCGATCCGCTTTTCCCCGTTCTTCGCGCTGCTGATCTGGCTCAGCGGATTCGCGAGCGAAGTTGTGATATTTTGTTCGTATGGTTTCTTCTTTGCTCCGCGTCGCGGGGCGCATCAACATGCAATGTAACCATCGAGGGGGTTAGCAGGCACGTATTTTCCTCGTCTCGTCGAGTGCGACGCGAAAACCTTCGAAGATATTATCATGGAGGTGAAAGTAGGCGACACCACCGTGAAATCGGGACGTATTTGGTACTGCCTGAGCCGGGACCTCGACGTGTATCCTATCGCGCTCGACTTTCCGACTACCAGGTGACTACCACAGGTTTCGAGGTGCTGGACAACGAAGGGAGAGTAGCAGAGAGTTCCGACGAGTAGCAACAGGCGTTGAGACCGGTCTACGGTTCCGAGTAGGTCCCCAGGTCCGTTGGAGGTGGTGGATGCGATCGAGTTTCCAGACGGGAAGATGATAGATCGTCGAGTTCGGGGGAAGCAAGCTCCGACAGCAGCGGCGGCGGCTCCAGCAGGAGCTCGAGCTCTTGACCGGGACGTCGGCGCCCCCCCGCCGTGAAGCCGTTGAGGTGGCATGTGGTGTCTGCTTCGGAGGACACTCCAGCTGGTCAGCCGTTGACAGCGACGGATGGTGACGACCATTGCTGCCCAGGAGGACTTTACCCTCGCGAGGTTGGGCGGTGAAATGCTGTTGCTCCGTGCCCCCGATCCGAATGATGGCGACACCCGGCTCGAGATGGACGTGCGCATCATGCCTATACAGTCCTCAGTGAAAGGTGAGCGGAAGCGGTCCTTCAAGGAGGCCGTGGAGAACCTGAGCGCCACCAAGTTGGACAATTGGCCCCTTCTCGGGCCACGCGACATGGGTTGATGAGACGAGCCTGTCGGCCGGGGGCTTGGGAATGGCTGATCATGAGGCTGTGATGCGAGCGTTCGAGTTTGTTACGTGCTATGATCCATGCAGCATCAGCGAGATGGCCGCCTTCGAGGCATTGGCCCGGCGGGCGCAGATGGCGGAGTGGACCCTCCTCGATCGCGCATCGCCCGGCCGGGCCGACGAGACACTCGGGGAGGAGGATTGGTACATGGGCACAGGGGAGACGCGGGGGCTCATCATGGTGGCGCCCCCGCTGGTCGAGCATGTCGAGCGAGCTGCGCCGCGAGAGCTCCATCAGGAAGGAGACGCGGAAGCTCCGCGAGGAGCGCCAGATCTCGCGGGCTGGCGACGGCATGAGCAGCGACACGAAGGAGCCCCTTGCAGAAGAAGATCGATGCCCAGGCCGCGGAGCCTCGCCGGCTCCAGGCCCGTCCTGGCGCCGCTGGCAAAGCCAGGGCAGGAGGCGGCCGCGGAGGCGGCCGCGGCGGCAAGTAGCAGGGGTGGGTCCGCGTGCTGCCGGGTGGTGCGCTCTCGAGCGCGACGCCATCATTTCGTCGATTCTTGAACGGACGATGTCTTCGTGGCCCTCAACTGCCTCTACGGGCGCGGCGATGGCCCCGATCTCGGTCCGCCCAGCAGTGGACAGAGCTTTGGTTGCCAGCAGGTTCGAAACTCAGTTCAAAGCATCGGCAGTCCCGACATTTCCTGCGCGGCAGCCTTTCGAGAGCTGCGCGCATCCTCCATTGGGTGCCTCTCCGAGCCCCAGAGGCCCGCCGCCTACTAGCGCGACGCGGTCGCGCTGCCGACCCCTGGCCCGAAGTGCAAAGGCACTGAGTTGCTGTAGGGGGAGGCTTTGAATCGTTGGGGGGGCCGGCGTGAGCGGCCGTTGCGGCCTCGACCTTTGGGCGAGCTGGCCAAGCCACATTGCGTCCCCAAGCCCATGCGCAGCGAGTCCTTGAACGCAAAGTTCGCGGGAGATTTGATCGACGCAGGCGCGGTCAGCCCTGGGGCGCCGAGCGAGTCGATGCTCGGGGTTTCTTTCGCGCCGAAGGGCAGCGAGGGGCCCCAGCTCATCCTCGACACGAGGAGGGCGGGCCAGGATTTCGAGCAGCCAGAGAACACTTCGCTTCCCGCGCCTGGGGCTTGGCGACGCGCGTGCGCCCCTGCAGGAGAGGAGCTGATCCTGACGCGCTTTGGCATCGAGGCTTCCTTCTACCGCGCGGCCGTCCCCGGCGGCCTCTCCGACTTTGTTCGTCTGCCCTTCAATGGGCCTTCCGGCCGTGAGACATGATCGCCCTTATCTAGATGTTCTGGACGGAAAGATGGCCCCACCCCGCCTCGCGGTGCCACCCATGGGCTGGAGCTGGTCGCTGCGCCTCTGCCAGTGCATCGCGACTCAACGCGCGCTGCGCAGCGGTTCCTCGCCCGATTCGATCGTCGAGGGCAGCCGGGCGGCCCCGGGCCTGAACGGGGCCGCGGCCGCGGCGACCCACGTCGACGGGGTCGCTGTCTTGGGCGCGGGCGCTGCTCAGCGCATGGGGGACATCCTCAAGATGGAGGAGGGTTTAGAGCAGCGCGGCTTGCTGACCACTGGTGTCCTCCAGCCGCGCAGTGAGCAGGCTTTCACGGACCTGGCCTTCCACCGTGCCAGCGGGCTAGTCTCGGGCCCGCCAGGCCCCTCTCTTCGCCTCCGACGCCAAGGTGCCGATAGGGGGCCAAGTCCTGCCGCTGCTGGGCCATTTCATTCGGGCGAGCCTCATTCGACGCGGACCCCTCTCGGTCTTCGCGGCCGCGCACTCGTTCGCGGAGAATGCCGGAGATCGAGCCTGGCAGCCGCGGCCAGCCGCCCGCCGCGAGCTCCGCCTGGGGGCCTCGCTGATTGCCCTCGCCTTCGCGGACCTCGCGAGGCCCATCGACGGCGCCGCGGCGGCGACGGGCGCCTCCGGGGGCCGCTCCGACGACAACGTGAGTGACCGCGGCGACTCCGGAGTGGTGAGCCGCGAGTTGGACGCCGACTTGATTCGGAGAACGTTGCAAGTGAGAGAGCGATGGAGATGCCGCGCGCTGGCCAGCACCAAGGCCGGGGCCGCGCCCCCCGGCCCGCGCCAGGAACTCTATGTGCTCTGGGAAAGAAGGAGCTCCCATACGACGCGCTCGACGGCGACTTCCGCCTGGCCCCGCTCAGCATCTTGGGGCCGTTCGCGGGCCCCGAGAGCAGGGCACCTCTATTGGGAGCTCGCCGTCGGGGTCCGACGAGGGCCCCTGTCACCTACGTCAGCGGGGGCTGCGAGCAGCCGGGGGGGCATGGCCATGGACATACCAGAGGGCGGGAAGGCATGCTTCCACGGGCTCTTCGGGCGAGCGGCCGACATCCTGCTTATGGAGGCCGAGGTTTCTCTCATGGGCTTCGGCGCGCACTCCGATCTCGTCGTCGGCCGGGCCATCGATTGCTCGCGCCGATGATTCGAGAGGTCTCTCGTGTTGGCCGCAGGCAGGGGGGGGTCCTCAATCCCGCCCGTAAATGCCGTGCTCCGCCACATCGCCGCAGTACGCCTAATAGCCGACGTTGAGCTCGCTACCAGGTGGTCCCCGTCAGAGCTCAACCCCGCCGGCAGACTCTATCGTCTACATGGGGCTCCAGTCCGTAGGTGCATGGATGGCCCGCGCAGCCTCGTTCGGCCCATGGCCCTGGGACTGGACAGGGTAGCGCTTCCCGGCCTCGAGCATGACGAGGAGTCGCTCTGGCGTGCCGTTGTTGCAGCTGTTCCTGAACAGGGGCTCCGCTCTGCCGCCGGCTGCGCGGCGACGGGGCTCGGCGGCGCCTGGGCCGACGTGCCGGTCTGGGCCGATCGCCGCGGCGCCTTTGGCGCCGGCCCCGAGGACATCGACCAGCAGGGCAGCAACTCTAGCAGCGACCAGGAAGACATCCTCGACATCGACCACGGCATCCACCGCCGAGAGACTTCGCCGTCGCCGAGCTCGGGATCGTGCCAGCCAAGTGACCTCGTCGACACTGACGCCGACACAGGGATATCCACGGACTTCCCTGCGTGCTCGCAAGGCGACGAAGGGCTCGCTGGCGCGCTTCGACTTGTGGCACGGCCGCTTCTTTGAGTGGCAGGCGGAGCATCGGACCCACTGGCTCACGTCCGCGGCGCTGGACCACGTGCTGAGCCTGTACCTCGGCGACCTGTGCGTCGAGGGCCACGGGCGCGACGTGGGCAGCAAGCTGATCGCCGCTGCGAAGCACTACTGGCCCCACCTGAACCTGGCGGGGAAGCTGCCAGTCGCGCAGGCGGCCCTGAAGGGGTTCCGCAAGCTGGCTCCATGGCGCGCTCGGCGCCCTCACGCTCGGGAGGGGCTCTACGCGACGGTGGGCCTGGCGATGCTGGACTCGGAGGCCGAGCTCGCGGCGGCCTGCCGTGGGGCGGCGCCCTGCGCGCTCCCAGCGACTTGCTGGTTCTCGCGCCCCAGTGCCTGACCCTTCCCCTGTCTCGGGGCCTCAGCCGATGCTGGGGTCTCCTCTTATGCCCGGAGGGGCTCGGGAAGTGCAGCAAAGAACAGGTATTCGACGAGGGCGTGCTGCTGTCGGAGGATTTCTCGCGAACGCGAGACACTGCCTGCGCGAGCCGCGAGCTTCGCGCCGAGCCTCCAGCCGAGTCGCTCTGGACGTTCAACGCCGCGGAGTTCAACTCGACTTGCAAGAGGTGCGCCGAGCGGCCCAATGGAGGCTCCCACCTGTGCCGCGTCCGCCACGGGTCGGCCAGCTACGACGTCGCCGCAGGCCTGCGCGTCCCAGAGCAGGCCCGGGCGCGCCTCCGCATCGCAGGCCCAGTAAGCATTCGGAGGCACAGCCGATCCTCGCGATACCTCGCCGAGGCGACGAAGGTGCCGCCCAGCGTCCGCGCCCTCGGGGAGAACGCGCGGTTGCGCCTGGGCACGGTCCTCAGCGGCGTGCTCAGTGTCGGGCCGCCTCCGCCGCAGCTAGGCGCCCTCTGGCGAGGCCAGCCGCGGGCGACGCCTTCAAGGGATCCCGCCGCCTGAGCCGCGCAGCTCTGCAGAGGCGAGTCCGCGCGCTCTTTGTGCTAGCCCGTGGAGGAAGCCGCCGAGGGGGCCCAAGTCATTCTTGATTTGTTTGCAGGGCAGGGGTCTGTCGGATCGTCCACCCGTCATGGTTCAAAGTCTGGCGTCGTCTCTCTAGACTGCCGCCTCGAGCCCTGGGTGGATTTCGCCGATCCTCGGCTGGCCAGAATCCTTTTCGGATGGATCGGTGCAGGGTGTGTCCGCGGCGCGCGGGCAGCCCCTCCGCGCCGCGCCTGGGCCGTGGCCAGTCGCAATTTCTCTCGCGGCATTTTCAGCGTATACGGCCATCCCCACGCGACTGCCGGAGCCCAGCGAAAAGACCGCGGTCGGCATTGTTTGTGTCGAGCAGCTTCAGACAATCATTTGCGCATGTTCAGAACGTGGACTGCCCGTGGTGTCCGAGATCCGCGCTACCAGTCTCATGTGACACGAACCAGTCTTTCAGTACCTGTCTCAGTTGCCCAGTTGTACTTCAGCCGGGTTTGACTCTAGTGCTCATGGGGCCCGCTGGCGCAAGCGGACCAGGCTGTTCGTGTGGAATGCTGGTCCTGCCCCCTCGCCTTGTGCAGAAAGTGTTCTAGTGCTAAACATCTCTGTAGCTTCACCGGCAGACCTCGCATCAGCCTTGAGGGGGAAGGTTCCCTGCGCGCGTTACTGGATGGCGCTCGCTGAAGCCTATCCTCAACAGTCACTCCTGCCATTGCAGCATGGTTGCGCCGTGCTGCCGGTAGACACCAGCTTGCCATAATGAGCTAGCTGTCTTTGTCAGCGGCATATGCCGGCCAGAGGCCATGATTGGGTTTTGGGTGCAACAGTGCATTGCCGGTGAATTCGCTGGAAGTCCCTAGCCCCCCGCTCGCCCCACACAAAAATAACATCTCTGGTCACGCTCGGAGGCCATGCTCTCGTTTTCAAACACGGTTGTCTTCCACCCGCGTGCCGTCTGAAGCTTGGCCGTCGATTCAGGCACGGCTTCTTGTATATGGCCCGTGACAATTTCGCTTAAGGTCTCCACCCCCTTCCTCTCCTCCACAACTAATGTTTGCTATGGTTGCTGATGGTATCCAGCCGTGCGGCTGTCTCGAAATACTGTCCTTGTCTGTTTTTTGTTGCGTGGGGTGTAACAGTGCACTGCCAGTGAGTTCGCTGGAAGTCCCTATCCTCCGCTCGCCTCGCACAGAAATATCACCTCTGGCCACGCTCGGGTAGCATGTCTATAATTTGGCCCCGGGGGTTCAAAACTATATCGGTGGTGAGGGGGTGGGATCGAAGTGGAACGGAGAGACCCCCCCACCGGGAAATCGATTTCGCCTTCGTGTTCGTGCGTGCCGTGCGTGCGGGCGAGGCGAAGCTGCGTGGGCGGGCGAGAGAAAGTCTCCTGTGGCTGAGGCGCGGCCGGACCAAATGTCTCCCTTCCGGGCGGCCGGGGGCCCGCGGTGTCCCGCCGGTGTCCCGCTGTGTCCCGTGTGGCTGAGGCGCGGCCGGACCAAATGTTTCCCTTCCGGGCGGCCGGGGCCCCGCGGTGTCCCGCTGGTGTCCTGTCGGTGTCCTGTCGGTGATGATGATGATGATGATGATGATGATGATGACGATGATGATGATGATGATGATGATGATGATGTTGACAACGATGATGATGATGGTGATAATGATGGTGGTGATGATGGTGAGTTCGGTAGTGAGATCGATAGTGAGACCGAATGTGAGATCGATTGTGAGATCGATTGTGATATCGATAGTGAGGTCGAAAGTGAGACCCAATGTGAGATCGATAGTGAGATCGATAGTGAGTTCGATAGTGAGGTCGACACTGAGACCGAATGTGGGATCGATGGTGATATTGATTGTGATATCGATAGTGGGATCGATCGTGAGATCGAACGGGAGGTCGATCATGACTTCGATAGTGAGTTCGATAGTGAGATCGATAGTCAGATCGATTGTGAGATCGCTTGTGAGATCGATTGTGATATCGATAGTGAGATCGACAGTGTGACCGAATGTGATATCGATTGTGAGATCGATACTGAGATCGATCGAATGAGATCGACAGTGATATCGGTAGTGAGATCGATCGTGAGACCGAATGTGAGATCGACCGTGAGATCGATAGCCAGATCGATTGTGAGATCTATTGAGAAATCGATTGTGATATCGATAGTGAGATCGTTACTGGGATCGAGTGTGAGATCGATAGCCAGATGGATTGTGATATTGATCGAATGAGATCGATCATGAGATCGATGGCGAGATCGGTAGTGAGATCGATCGAGTGCGACGGTGGTCCCCCCCCCTCGCCTCCTCATCACCCGAAGGGTGGTCTATGCGGTATCCACATCCACCGCCCGCTGGGTCCCCGGGCTGCGACCTGCGAAACTGTCGCCACTTTCGAAGCCTGCTGGGGGGGGGGGCAGCACAGTGGGTACCCACGGCGGACTCACATGGGACCTCGCCATCCCTGGGGGGCTGCGATCTGTGAAACTGTCGCCACTTTCGGGGCCTGCTGGGGGGGCCCAGCACAGTGGGCACCCCAGGGCGTCGGTTCCCAGGCGGCGGCTGTGGATGCTTCCCCGCTTCGCACCGGTAGGTCATTCCGCCCAGCAGCTGGCGTGATCACCGTCGGGGACTCGTCGCCGATCGGTCGATGATGCATCGCTGGCTCAAGAGCAATGCTCTCCTCCATAAGTCAGGAGGGAAAAAGCACACAGACACAATGAATCGTCGCCTCCCAGAACAGTATGGGAAAATATGGGAATTTGGCGGGAAGACAGAAACCCAGAAAATATGGGAAAATATGGGGAATTATTTTTTTGTGTGTATTTATTTGTGTGTCCCAGGGCCCCTACACATAAGCTGAGCCCCCCCCTATCCATGACACTTCCCGATCTGTTCTTGTTCAGTCCCGACAGCTTCCCATGGGGCGGCGACCCCCAGGCCAGATGACCTTGCCCGTGGGGGCCGAAGCCCTGACATCCAGCGCTTCAGTTTTTGTTCGATACGCGGGGGTTCTAGGCCACTGTCTTGGGGCCGGCTTTTCGTCCTGAGCCCTTGCTCTGCGGAGGCCGATGACGGCCCAAAACCGGCCGCTCAGTTTTTTGCGGGGCCTGGGATCTCTGGGATCATGTCGTCGGGTTCGGGGGACGTCGCCCCTCGTCTCCGGACGACCTGTGTGCACCGTACGGCGCTGGCGTCTCTTGATGCGTCGTCGGTCTTCGAGCCAGGAATGGTACAGTGCATAGCTCGTGGGCCCTCAGGGCCGACACATCTGTCAAGCGTGCCGCGAGGGAGAGAAGCCTGGAGCCAGTTCAAAAAGATGCCGTTCTCGTGCCTCGAGGAGCGCTCCACGGACTGTGGCTCCCCGGCGTGCGCGTGGGACGCCTCCTCCGGGGAGGATCGGGTCGGGCGAAAGGGGGGGATTGGGAAAGGGGGGGTTACGAAATTTGCTGCATGCAGCTGGTTTCGGCCTCACCGAGGGGCCCATTCCTCGATACATGGCCGCCTCCGGCGCCGGGAGGCGCCGGGAAAATCAGCTACGTGAGCTGATTCTCAAACCCCCCCCTTTGCTATCCCCCCCTTTCGCCCGACCCGAGAGGAGCCGGCGGCGGCCGCGGAGTCGCCGCCGGAGGCGCCGCCAGAGGCGCCCGCGGCAGCGCTGCCGGCAGAGCCGCGCGCCAAGCGCGCGCCGCGCCGCTCGCAGCCGCCCCCGCCAGCGCCGCCCGCGGAGGCGCCCGAGGAGGAGGCGCCCACTGCCAAGGGCTCCCTCGAGGGCGCGAAGTTATTCGCGCTTCGCGGTCCTCGATCCTTCTCCCCCTCCTCCTCGTCCTCCTTTTCTCCCTTTGGGGGGGCGGCGCGAGAGCGCGAAGTTATTCGCGCTTCGCGCAGCGCGAAGCGCGAAGTTGGGAGCCCTAGCATTGCGGGCGCGGCCTGCGCAGAGGCGCAGCATCGGTTCACCGATCCCCGTGCCCGTTGGGCCATGCATGCTCGCGTCGCGGAAGCAGCACGACGGAAGGCTATTGACGCCATCTGTCGGCCTCCGGGGGCCCTCGCCTGGCGTCGGACCGTCGCCGAACGATTCGGGGTGAACGACTGGCCCTTGGGAAAGGGTCGGAGCTTCTGGGGACCACGCACTGAAGGAATCAACACGTCCCACGTGTTGGGCGGCATCTCGGCCTCACCCAGCCCGAGCCCCAGGTGGGGACGGGCCTCGCATGGCCTCGCGGAGCCCGAAGTGAGCAGCACACATTGTGGGGGCGTTGGTCACGTGAGGTGCCCAGGAGCTGATGAGGGCGGCGGCGACCTCCGCGGTCAATCCTCCGCGGTCAATCCACGGGCTCCTCCGGCTTCCAGACCCTGATTTCCTTCTCCGATGCTTCCTTGTCCGGTGTCTCACCGACCCCTCCCTCTGCAGCCTGCAGGAGGGCAAACGCCGGTGGCCCGTGCGGCCTCGAGGCCATGTGCCAGTGGGCACGGGGATCGGCAGAGCGGTGCGCGGAGGCGCCCGCGGAGGTGCTCGCGGCGGCGCCTCCGGAGGAGCCCGCAGCGCCGCCGCCGCCGCGGGTGGCGCCGCCACGGCCACCCGCGTGGGCCCGAGCGGCCTGCGGGACGCCCGAGCTGCCGGCGGAGGATCGGGTGCCCCCAGTCGGCGGCAAGCGAGAGGGCCTGCTCAGAAGGCGGCGGAACTTCTCAGAAGCCCTCGCGCCTTCCGGGAAGTGTCGGCTCTCTCGTCGGAGAAGGTTCGGAAGCTTCTCGGGAGGCCTGGGGACTTCGAGCCTACTTCTGAGAAGGCCTTCTCCCTCTCGCCTCCCCCCCTCGCCCGCCGCCAACCCAGACGGTGTGGTGACCACACCGCGCCGTTGAGTTGGGAGTCGGGGTCACCGCACCTTCTTTCCGGGGACGCCTCGGGCCATCTGGGGCCGCCGAGGCCCCTAGGCCGTGTGGTGGCGGGCCGCGCGGTGCCCCTCAGAGCTGGCCGGGGCTGACCCAGGAGGGGTCCAGCGACGAGGGGGTGGTGCAATACATATATATTTATTTATTTATTTATTTATTTATTAATTTATTGATTTATTTATATATATATATAGGTATATACATGCTTATATGTGTATATATATATATGTGTATATATATATATATATATATATATATATATACATATGTGTTGCGACTGGTTCGTGGGGTTGCAATACATCTGGGGCGTGCCATACGTTCCAGGGCGCAAGTGCACTGCTGGATTGTCACGTGCGATACATCACTGACACAATGTAATACACGTCTCCCCGGCGCAATACATTTGCAATACAATTGCCCCAAATCTGTTGCACCACCCCCTTTCAGCTGGACCCCCGTTTGGGTCACCCGAAAAGACAGTGGAAAATCTCGGTCAGAGCCCTGGTCCCCATCTTCCCACGTCATTCTTCTGGCCCGGGGGCCAGAGCCGCGCGAAGTCGCCCGTGGCGGCGGAAACATCGCAACGCCAGGATATCCCGGGATGTCGAGGGGATTCCCGAGGTCACCACGCGGTCGATGCCACCACGGCTTCGGCACCCCCAAGAGGAGCCCGCGGAACGCACCCGACGCGGCGCCGCCCCGCCACCCCCCGCGCCGAAGGTCCGCTTCGCCGAGGAGGGCTGCGAGGATCTGGGCACCACAAAAAACCACAACCACAACCGAGTGGCGCTTTTGGGAGGACCCCTCGGGAAAGAGCACACCGCGCCCCAGGCAGCACCGCCGGGGCCTGGGCGCCACGCGCCGCAGGCTGGGGAAGGCGCCTCGCCGACGACGACGACGACGTCGGCGACACCGACGACGCCGGCGACGACGCCGACGCCGCCGCCGACGCTGACGCCGACGCCGACGCCGACGCCAATGGCGGCGCAGGCGCCTCGCCGGCCCCCGCGCTGACGCCAGCGCAACGGCTGGCACCGGCGCCGCGGCAGGCGGAGCTGGGGTGTATAGCTGAGATCCCAGCGTCGCACATGTTCTCGAGTCGGGCGTATTCCCGTAATTTCGGGCCCCGCGGGACCCTCACAGATCGATGCTTCTCGAAAAATGCCGCGGGGCTCTGGTCGTGATTTTTCACGGTGCCGCACTGTCGGGAACCTTTGAGGAGCGTGTCCCTCCGCCAGTTTTGGTCCACCACGCTTCGGCGCGACACGCTATCCCCGTCGCCATTCCCAAGGGTCAACGTCCCGTGCCCCTCCCAGCCTCTCGCCCGTCGGAGTGGAGCGACACGCTGTCCACTCGCAAGGCATAGTGTGTTGCCTGGGCCGCCGCCGCCGCGACACGCTAAGCAAACGCTCCTGACCGTAATTCTGTCGTGTCGCCAGAGTTGAGGGTGGGGTGCGGATGGCAGCCGAGCGTCGGCGGCAGCAGCGTCGCCCGCGCCTGCCTTGCCCCCCCCCTTCTCCCCAGACCATCTCGCGTCGTGAACACAATCACGACGGAAGGTTTTCTTTACAAATTTAGGCATCTGCAGGGGGCCTCTCGCCAGGTCCCGGGACCGTCAACACAAGTTCAGGATGGAAAGCCCGTGCTCGGCAACGGGTCGATCAATCCGGTGTCCATCTTCAAAAGGAACACGGCGTCGGAGGTTTGGGTCTCTGGCCTGCACCTCACACGGGGTTTCGGGGTGCCTCCACTCATCCGCTTCCTCCTCATAGCCCTCCTCCTCACTCCCCCTCCTCCACGTCGCACCACACTGCCATCATCATGTCTCATCCTCATCCTCATCCTCTTAATCTCTCCCCCTTTCTTTGGCCCGAAGTCCGCGGACGTTGGAGAATTGGGGAGAGAGGGGAGGGCGAGGTCCAGGGCGTCGGAGTGAATTGGGGAATCGGTGCGATTGGAATGGATACGAAAAGAATGGGTGCGAAGACCGACTGCAGTTCCTGCCCACTTTGAACAGGGTTCCCCGGTTCGCTGTCGGCATCGCCTTCGACGCTGTCGATTTGAGAAAGAAGGCCGCCTGCGCAACAGCGGCCGTTGTTGGTTTAGGACAACGTTTGTTGTCGGACATCGCACCCTTTTATTCCGTACCCATTTCGGGCGTCCAAAGGGAGGGCCCGGGTAGATAATAGGGAGGTGTTGGGAGAGGGTGGGTGCGAAATTCGTTGCATGCAGCTGGCTTCGACTCCACACCCGGGCGCGCTCCTCGATACATGGCCGCCTCCAGCGCGGGAGGTGCTCGAGACGCCAGCTACGCATAGCTGATCCGCTCACCCTCCTGCCCCCCCCCCCTCTCGGCTGTGCCCCGAGAGGGGGGACCCAGGGGAGAAACACATACCGAAACCATTACCATTCCTTCGTTCTCACCGTTCGGAGCCTCCAGGGGTGCTGCGTCCCCTCGGCTCGCTTCGCCTGGAAGTGGTGCTCCCCGCTCGGAGCTATCACAGGGGGGGGGGCCTGGCCGCCACGGCCGGACCCACCTCGGCATCCTGGCCAGAACGCGCCCGGGGAGAGCCCGTGCTCGTTAAGCTCTGTGTCTCGCTCCTCCTGGAAAGAGCAGGGCGGCCGAGCGAGCGCACGCCCAGAGTGAGCAGGCCAAGACACGCGAGGAGAACACCATCGGCAGGGGATCGTCAAAAACGTCCCCGCCCCTCCTGCAGCATGGCCGCAACAGTCAGGCTCGGGGCAGACCTCCGGAACTCGGGCGCGGCGTCGCCGGCCCTGCCGGCAGGTCCTGCGGCGAGCCTCCGGGGCCCTGGCCCTGCGCCGGCGGCTTGGGCGGAACGCAGGGAGAGGGAGGAGAGGAGGGGCGAGCAAACGAAGACGAACGCGCAGGCGGGAGGCCAGGGCCAGCGGGACGAGGCAGGCAGGCAGGCGGGCGGGGACGGGGACGGGACAGCGAGCAGGGAGGGGAAGAGGAAGAGGACGAGGAGAAGGAGGAGGAGGGGCAGCAAAAGGGCCGGGCCAGGGGCCAGGAGGGACGGGCCGCCCGCGACGACATTACGGACCCTACGGCGGCGACAGGAAACAGTCGGGCGTCAGGAACCGTTGTGGGCGTCGGGAAGGGCGTCGGGATCGTTGTGGGCATCGGGATGGGCGTCGGGGTCATTGTGGGCGTCGGGAAGGACGTCGTGGTCGTCGGGATCGTTGTGGGCGTCGGGAAGGGTTGTTGGAAGGGCGTCAGGAAGGGCGTGGGGTGCCGGCCGAACCCAGCACGCTGCGGCTTGGTGGGGGGGGAACCTTTGCGGTATCACCCACCGCCCCGCCGAGGAACGGACGGCCGGCAATGTGGGGGGGGCGCCAACACGCCACCCACGGAGGGGCGCCCGGGGGGCGCCCGCGCTGCCCAGTCACGGTGGGGGGGGGAGGGCGGGGGGGCGCTAGGCTGCGCCAGCGTGGCGGCTCACACGGCGTCAGCCGTGGAAACAGATGTGGCAGCGGCCAAGTGGGCCGCAGCCACCCCCGCCCCTCTAGACTGGATGTGGAAGCGCCGCAACACCGCCCGCGCGTTCTGCGCAGGGAGATGGAGAGTCGCTGTGCGTGTCGGTCTGCTACAAGTGCGGCCTCTTCCCCCGTGGCGTCAGCCACTCGCTTGGCCAGGACCCCGAAGGCCCTGCGCGCCTCGCGGTCCCACCCGCCGCCGTGGGCTTCCACCACCATGGGGGGGGTAGGTGAAGCCCTGCTCCGCGCACAGCCGCGCGGTGTCCAAGTGAAGCCTTTTTGAAATCCTCGTACCTGTCCGTCGGCGCGCTCGATGAGGCGGCCGACGCGGCGAGGAGATCGGCGCGCAACCCGGACGGTCCCAGGCGGCCGCCGTGCCGTTGCGCCATCGTGGCACGTAAACGTCGGCGGGGCGGCGGCCGTTGTCGCCCACATGGGACCCGCCCTGCTCGCCCCCGGGGGTGGCCTCCCCGTCGGGGCGCGGGTGCAGCAGCCCTGGGCGCTCCAACTCCGCCCTGGCGTGGCCTGCGGCCAAGGCGTCGAAGAAGGCCTGGTTGCGCAGGGCGTTGCGGCGTTTGGTCCGGTCGCCGCGGCAGGCGCAGACCAAGGCGTGGTCGCAGAAGACGTCCATCACCTCGCCACAGGCTGGGCAGAAGTATTCCTCCTGCAGGAGCTGGACTCGCAGCCGCCTCTGCAGGCCGACATGCATGAGGCCGCGCGGGAAGGCGGTGCCGGTGGCCTCGCAGGGCGGCGCCTGGGGGCTTGCACCGGAGATCTCGAGAGGTGTGCTTTGCCGGCCAGGGTGAAGCCCGCCACGTGCCCGTCGAGCGAGGCGCTGTCCACCGCGTCGGAGAGGGCCTTCTGGTTGCCTTGCTGCGCGTGGTCGAACACGACGGCGCTGTGGGCCTGCACCGCAGCCGCCAGGCTACCTCCGTCGCGGTCGGGGTCGTTGAAGTAGCCGGGGTAGAGCTGCCGACAGAGGTCGTCGGTCTTCCTTTTTGGGAGCGATGCAGGCAGCGGCGGCGTGCTTCGCGGCAGGGCGCAGGCCAAGTCCTCCCTCGTTGAGCTTGAGCTGAGCCTGCTGCCAAGAAACGTCGGAGGGCGAGCAGCCGCTTAGTTGCTCAAGGCAGGTCCAGACAGCGTCGTCCATGGCCAGCAGGGAGGCGGCGCACCACGCGCGCGGAGTAGCCCAGCTTGCAGAAGGAGGCGCATTGGCGCAGGAGGTGCAGCGCACGAGCCCCCCCCAAAGCTTCCAGCAGGGCGGTGGCGCTCGCGACCCGCTGCTTGGTGTGCTCCGGGCAGAAGTCCGCGTCTGCCACTGGCGCGCTGAGCAGCTCGAAGCCGCGGTCGGCGCGGAGGCGGAAGCCCAGCGGGAAGCCGTCCAGAGACACGTCGGAGGCGTCTCCGCCAGTGGGGACCACCTCACACTTGCCTGGGCCAGTGCTCAGCTGGAGGCCCACCGCGGCAAGGTTGGCCACGAGCAAGTGGAGGAGGCGCGCGACGGCCAGCGCGTCGCCCGCGAGGCAGCCGTCGTCCAAGTAGAAGAAACTCAGATCGACGGCGCCGCCGGCGCCGTGGCGCTACGCGCGGAGGGCGGCCTCGGCGGCGCGCTGCAGTGCTAGGGAGAACAGTAGGGGCCCCAGGGGGTCGCCCTGCTGCACCCCGCACTCGGAGCGCACTGTCTGTTTGCCCAAGAAGAGAGTTGACCGGCGGGAGTAGCACCAGTCCGCCCAAGGTGCCAGCCCGGGAAAATCTTCGTGGACCGCGCGGAGCAGAGCCTGCCTGTCCAGGGTGTTGAAAGCGCCAGACAAGTCCAGCTTCACACCTTCCCTCGGTCCCCGAGGTGGCGGGTCCACCACTGGCGCGCGACGTGCACCGCCGCTTCGGTGCCGCCAGGGGCCGCGACGCCGATCTGGAGGGGAGCCAGTCGGTCGCGCGCGGCGTCGGCAACCCCGCGGCAGGGACACGCGCCGGAGCACCTCCCCGACGGCAACAGGGCGCAGGCCTCCGTCCTTCTTCGGCAGGACCACCAGAGAGGCGCCCGCGAAGTACTCGGACACGGCAGGCGGGACCTGCACCCTGGCGCAGAGGTTGACAAGGTTCCAGAGTTGGTCGGTGAGCTGGTCGGTGACCTCGCCCCTGTGGACCGCGTTGAGCAGTGCGTCTTTGAAGTGTTGGCGCGGAGCCCCAGGGGAAGGCCCGCACCTCCGTCCAGACCGCGTCCCCGTCCACCTGCAGGGCCGCCGCCGCGTGTACCACCGGGAGGTAAGCGAGGTCCACATCTCGGTGGCTGCGCGGGTGTTTCCGGCGCATCTTTGTGACAACGTCGGCGGTGACCTCCACGGGGGGCTCGCTGGTTAGAGCCGAGCAGCTCTTGGAGTAGTGAACGTCCGCAGCGAGCTGCACGCACCTTTCTGCTCTCTTGGTGTCGTCGGAGGCAGTTCTGGCGGCGCGAACCTCTACGGCCTCGACCCACAAAGAGGCCCGCTCACCGTCCAACCAGCGCTGGCAAAGCGCCTTAGTCTGCGCTTCGCTGGCCGCCCTGCTGCCC